AACCTAAATAAGCCATAAAAACATAAAAGTGACCAAAATAAGCCACTACTTTAGGAAGTAACTAAAATAGGCTTAGTGGAAGAAAAAATTCCACTTTATCTAATATTCTAAACGCTTTCCGTTAGTCTCATTATGTGTATATTTTAATGGATAACGGACCTATTTCCTACACTTTATAAAATGGAACTATTTCTTACACTTTATAAAGTGGAACTTTTTATTACACTTTTTATAAAGTGGATGGGCATTGACCGATAAAGGAGAACGTTGTTGACTAGTCTTAGGCTCCTTCCTAACATAGATTTCAAGTATTGTTAACTTGATTTGATCTATGTAGTCATTTGGAACTCTCAAAAAGTCGGTCAACAATTTGTCATTATAGATAATCCACTCTCCAAAATTTACTTGTCCTTGTGATAAAAATGAAGTAGGGTATTTTTCGACTATAATCAAATTATAAACAGTACTGTTTATACTCATTCTTTTATAAATTGATGAAAGAAATTTATGATATCGGACATTAATTGAATATTTAGCATTGTGTTTGGGAGTATAATTATAATAAACGGTATTTCCGTCATGTATAATTTCGTCATCCCAATAAATCGAAACTCTAACTTTTGGTTTAGAAGACATTTTTTTTTTGAGATTGAAATGAACAAATATAGAAGACTTTATGTTGTAGGTGCTATCAACTATGTTTGAACGTCCTCCTTAAATAGAGATTGAAGGATTTTTCAGAATAAGAAAATAAAAATACATAGTGAGATAATTTTTTCCGTTTTTATGATATGTCAAATCAATATAATTGTATGACAAACACTGCAAAAGCTTCATAAAGAGATAAAAACGTGAATCATTCCTGTTTGTAAAGTGAAATTTTTTCTTCCACTTTATAAAGTGTAAGAAAAAGTTCCACTTTACAAAGTGTAAGAAAAACTTACACTTTATAAAGTGTAAGAAATAGTTCCATTTTATAAAGTGTAGGAAATAGTTCCGTTATATATTAAAATATACACGTTATGAGACTAACGGAAAACGTTTAGAATATTAGATAAAGTAAAATTTTTTCTTCCACTAAGCCTATTTTAGTTACTTCCTAAAGTAATGGCTTATTTTGGTTCTTTTATATTTTTGTGGCTTATTTAGGTTCCCTCCTCCCCAAACAGCCTTCAAGAGTTAGGGATTGAAATTGGAAAAGAAAGAGGGAAAAACACAGTTGCCTGAAAAGGTGAAGCAGCATATTGCTACTAACTTCACCTCTGCACTCGAGCTCCTACTTGTGGGTGTATCTACAATGGCGGACGAAGATTTCCCACCTCCGGTGAGGTTGATGAATTTTGTCTCCGAAGAACAGGTAAAATCGGAACCCCATACCTCTCTCTCCACAAGGATTAATGTTATTTTACTTAAACGTGTGTTTGTTTGTAGTTGGCAGAATCCAAGAAAACTCGGGGTGCTCGGGTTGAAGACGGAACTGCTCAGAGAGATCGCCCACTTTATGAGGTCCAACAACTCCCTTTGTGCTTGTCATTTCTTGTTGCTTTATTTGCCTCCCATCTATATCATTTACCCGTGTCAAATGTGTGTGGATACTTGGGTAATTTGTGTAAATTCTTCAGAATACACTAAAATTAGCAACAAAGTGCATGTATCATGCGGGAATCGGGATACTTACATACTGTATGCAAATATCCTAACTTGGTAGTAAAGCATATATTTTAGTGATTGGTATCTCCAAAGGTGTAGCTAGGACTTTAACTTTATGAATTCTGTATTCTAGACAATGCAGCTTATGGGGTTATTTATAAATTATTTATGCATATTAAGTGGATTTTTAAACACAAATACAGAGTTGAGTAAAAACTACCAAGTCTGCTGAACTTTTAGGTGAAGGTGTATCTCATGCTCAGCTAATTGAATAGCAACACTATTGTTGTTAGTTTTCCTTTCACTTACTATCCTTTCCAGTTTCAATCTTTTAAGCGAAGGTGCTCTAGGTCATGTGTTCTGCCCTCTGGTATGTATGTGCACTGAATTTTTCAAACTCTCCTGCTTGAGTTGTATTTTCATTGAAACCACAGATCTTGATGGAGAACAAGGACAAGAAAGATGCTGAATTTAATGAACGCTTTAAACACCGTGAGTAATTGAGGTCCCTTGTTCTTCTTGGTTTCTTGTGTGAATGGCTTATGATTATTCATTTTTCTACTTACTCTATTTGCTTACAATTGGTCTCCTTAATGTTGTTGCAGAACCACCCAAAGCCTTAGATGAGGACGAGACCGAGTTTCTTGAGAAGCTTGAAATGGTTAGATGTTGCTTAAGTTCTTTATATTTGTTTGGGATGCAACTAATAGATAATCTACACATGCTTTGAGATAGTTATTCACTAATATTTGTTGCTGAGGCACTTATATGATGTCCTGTCCACAATGATAAGCTACACATGCTTTGTTATTTCCACGATTTTCTATCACATTTGGTGGGGAAAGTTCAATTTTTCTTCATGGGTTCATTTAATGGACGAAGTTGAGATTTAATGTTTACGTGAGCGGTGGGTATTAGTAAATAACTATCTCAAAGCTTATTTCATCTCAAGGTTCCTTATAGTTCTTTTGCAAGTGAGAACCCCTCTGATCACGGAGTTCAAAGTTACGGTTACACAACAACAACAACATATCCAATGTGATCCCATAAATGGAGAAGTTCAAAATTACGGTTATTTATGGATAATGATTCACTATTTAAAATTTGTTGATTGTGGTATGTATGCGGAGGTTGTGATGGAGGTACAATCGACGAAAGTAGACAAAATTAGAAACAATCTCATCCAACAGAAGATACCAGAACTAATTGTTGGGATTAAAATACAAGAAGTTTGTTTGAGATGTATAGCATTCAAGCTTGTAGCCTAGGGGTAAGCTAGCTTCGTGAATATTACATATCCATGTCCTAAAGCGCCAAAAGCACTTGTCCTTGCCCTTAGTTGCGACACTGTAATGGTTAAATATGTTAAAAGGGGACGAGGACGTGAGATAACATGATGGGAAATTGTCTTAAAAGACGTAAATATCTTGAATCCATGTGAACTTTTTGAAGAAAAGAACAGCATAGCAGCAAATGGTTCTTGTAGGTGATACTAAGGGCTTGTTTGGTGTGAGGGATTAAAAATAATAGTGATGGGATAAAAATATTTTATGTTGTTTGGTTGCCATGTTTGGGATAACTTATCCCACCATTTATATCATAGTGATGGGATAAGTTATCCCATATACATGGTGGGATAAGTTATCCCAGGATAGAGGATAGCTAACCAAGATAACTTGTTTCCAACCAAACGACCCCTAATAGTTAGGATTAAGGCCTAGTTGTGTTGGTACACATACATAAAGTCCAGTATTTTCTTCAGCTTGTTCTCTTGTTTTTTTTTTTTGAAAATGGTAATTGTTTCTATTTCTGCAGAACAGTACATAGGTTGTACTGAAACCCGTATTTACATAAGTAACTCTAATAATACTGACCTATCCCTATAATGAGTCTTAAGACATCAATGATAGAGACGGTATCATTAGAGTAAATTTGATTACACCAAAAAACACAGAGTCGAAATGCAATTCAGTTTAACTTGTTGCATACTACTCTCCCTATTCTCAAAAACTCTAAGGTTCCTCTCTTTCCATATTGTCCACCGAATAATGGCAGGGACAATTCTCCAGTTACTTCTGTTTTTTGCTTGTGTCCCTGCTTCTTCCCAGCTAAATAGAGCCTCTGAAATTCTCCCAGGCATGCACCAGGAGATGCTTTTACGTCTCAGGAACAGATTCCACAACTGGCCAGTGACTTCGCATTGGATAAACAAATGATTGACTGTTTCTGTGTAATTCCCCTCTTCATTAAATTCTCCTGTGTCAATACTGCTTCTTTAGCCAATAACCACACAAAGCAAGACACCTTGTAGGGGATCTTGGCTTTCCATATATGTTTCCAGGGCCACTTGAGTAGCTGCAGATTTGAATGATTCAACTTCTTGTACACTGCACCTACTTTAAAAATCCCTTTATTGTTTCCCAACCACTGCAATCTGTCTCGCCCCATTTCCAGACCGCCTGTGCACTGCACCTACTTTAAAAATCCCTTTACTGTTTCCCAACCTCTGCAATCTGTCTCGCCCCATTTCCAAACCACTAAATTGATCAATGCTTCTAAAAAAATTTGTTA